CCTCTGACTTTAATCAAATTAAAAAGTGTCATACCTACTCCTAAAATCGAATGAGCGCCAATCAATTAGATATTTAATCAAATATTCATTAACTGCCTAAAATTTAATCCCCCTCCCCCTGCCACTGCCCCTACCCTTCCACACCAAATCAAAAAGTCCCGAGTGTCAACTTAATCATTTTGGCGCTTTTCCTGCTCGACTTGTACAATCTATAGATTACGATATATCCTTTTGGGAGAGTGTTGCTTGCATGGAAAACAAACCGTAATCAGTTGAAGAGTGGACCCGGAGCACGCTCGAGAATTTCCACTTGCACTTGCCAACACAACTGCCACTTGGAGCTATAAACTGTGAAGAGCCCTTCCGGGCCACCAGCAGCAGCCTCGGATGAGGCAGCTGCCCCATCGAGGGCCCTTGATATCGAATACAGCTGCTGCTGCAAGTGCTGCACCGAGTGCCTCCTGCGTGCATGTGTCTGCGTGTGTGCATGTGAGTGTGAAGCTCCTCTCAAAGCTTCGACTATCTGTGGATGCCGGAGTCTAGAGGAGTCTGTTCCTGGAAAAATGCTGCATAATTCGTAGAGCAAGTGCATCGATATTTGGATGTCTCTGTCTTTCGGCTTGGGGACAAGTTCAGGGAAATTGCTTTAATTAAAGTTGAGTTTAAGCTCTGGCTAAGGAAATCGATTGCCAAGGCAACCTTTGGCCCCCCCCCTGATTGAGTTGTGGGACAATCGTTTAGCCCTGTGGGTCGCTGAGGGTCGTTGAGGGTGTTTCTCCTGCCATTGTGCTGGCAGTACTCTCCGTTCTGTTGTCAAAGTGTCGAAGTGTAATCATGCCTTGTGCGGCAGAGGCTTAAATTAAATTAATTGGCGGACACTCGAAGTAAATTAAAATTGCCCGGAACGCTTTTATTTCTGTTCCATTTCCTGTTGCTCTTCCGTCCAACATTCGTGTCCCGACATTAAAGAGATTACAAAAGGGTCAAAGGGATACTCATAGCTGCTACTGCGATTGCTCATAACTGTGCGTCGCCTGCGGCCAGCCATTGGACATTGAATGTTTCCACTTATCTTTCTTTTGTGTGATGCCCTAAACGAAAAGGTTCTATAATTCAGTCCTTGATAAGCGATTGGCCCAGCCTTAAGCGAGTAAATGATTAAATCCTGCACAAGCCATAGAAGAAATTAATATTTAAGAGTATCTAAAGCTGCGACTCTCAAAGTTATCCTTTCTGGCTTGATTGCTTTTGTTCCACTTGCTTCAAGAGTGTCATTTTCCATTTCAAATCGCACTGACACCAGCGCAAACATTGACGCACACACAGATGCTCCGGCTCTCACATATACTGTGACCACGGACCAGCATTTGGATGGCAAACTAATTAAATTTTGCTGGCTGCGCTTGGGCTTGGGCTTGGGCTTGGGAATGACTTGACTTGACTTTGGCTTCGGCGCTTGGCGGTTGCTGTGTCGGATATGGGCAGCCAAATTGGCGCCGCAAATTGGTAATTACCCAGGCTGAAGTGCATGTCAAACACGTAAAAAGGCGACAGAGTGCAGCGGGGGTGGCAGTGGCCAAAGAAAAGCGCCTCCGCTTCCTCCCCCGCCAACCGTCCACCATCCGCCGTCCTGGGATGTCGGCTGCACATTCTGCAATTAGCCAACAACGAGAATGTCGGACTACGGCGATGACAATCAAGCAAACGATGGCCCCAAACGACGGCCACGCAAAGCAGCTGACGACGCGTGTCCTTAGTGTCCTTTCGATGTATCTCGATGTGTCTCTGTATGTGTGTGTGTGTGTGTGTCTTGTGGCCGTGGGCGTGGTCAGATGCAGTTGAGCTGCCTAATTACTTGTAAGTTGGTGAATTTGCGGCCACGACATTACACAGAGCCGAGAGCCCGAGCAACTAAATTGAATTTGACGCGCTTGCCCACTACTGGCCCGGCTCCTAGAGCCAGCGGTCAATTGTTAACGGGTCGTAGACATGGCCCAGAACGATTGCCAGCCAGCAAGGCCGGCAATGTTATGCGGGGGACACTCGCGTGTACAGCTCTTCCCTGTTTCCTGTGGGACGATAGAAGCAGTGAAACTTGCTGATTGCCAGCGTGTAATTATTTTTTAAGCACTTTGTCTGCCAGTGAAATTAGACCTAACTAAGCCAATCTCTTTTATTTCGTTCTTCTTTCGGTTTTTTTTGGGTCTATTTGAATAGCGTGGCAGCGACAGGGATATACACACAGATACATGAATACGGAGAAAGATACAGAGAAAGATTTGGCTTTTGGGTCACACACGCCGCGGCGGTTGCAGAATCCTTGGCGCGTACATCCTGCGCTCCTCTCCTGTCCTGTCCACTCCACTGCTCTGTTGTGATCTCGGTTTTCATTTTTCGGTTTGCTTTGTCCAATTAGTAACTGGTTTTTTTCGGGGGCAGGTCTACGGTTTCATTTCTTTTATTGTGCTCGTTATCCTTTTTATTCGGAACTCCTGCTGCTGTCGCTTTCGCTGCTGCTGCTGCTGCTTGGCATCTCCGTGCGCAAATTTGATATCCTTGTTACAGCAAATTGTTGTACAATTATTTTGTCTTGCGTGCGCCACCACCTCGGTCTGTCGTTGCCCCTTTCATACACAGAGCTCTCTCGCTCTCGCTCTCTCTCTCTTCTCGCCTGACCAAAACCGAAGTGAAGCGAATCGAATGAAATGATATTTATATGCTCCACAAAACGTCATAGCAGCACCCTTACCCCTCTCATTGTCATTGTCCTGCGCCAATATTGTCGCCTCTTCGATTATTTATGATCTTTACTTTACTTTAGTCGTACCCTGCCCTGCCCGGCCCTGCCCTGCAGTGCTCCCCACGGGCCTGTGGCCAAGTTTTAGTAGTCATCGTAGTCCTCGTTCTTGTCCTCGGCTCAGTAATAAATTTATGCTTTTTTATTTCCTCCTGTCATAATTTTACCCTCAAATACACAGAAAACGGAAGAGCGGGATGGGGCAGGAGATGGCAGAGAAACGATAGGAAAATACTTGGGCATTTTTTCCCCAACATTTCCTCTCGCATTCCTGAGAGTTTTCCCCCCTAGCCACTTCCTTGTCGGCTGGCAGGCAGGGTGTGCGGTTGGTTCACTCCTTTCATGCCTGTCTAGAATTTTCCAATTGATAAATTATTTTATGGCAAATACACAAATTTTCCCCATACGCATGTTATGCTCCCTTTTCTCTCACTCTCTGTCTCTCTCTCTCTCCTCTCTCCTCAACCTCTTTCAGTGCCTTTCCTGTGCTGCTTGTGTGCCTGTGTGTATTGGTGTTTGTGTGGTTTTGATACCCTTGACGAGGGTATGTTGATTTTGAACATATTATTTTAAATTATTGGAGGAAGGGTAATGGGGCATTAAAGTAAAAAATAAAATATTTTGTATCTGTTTTTAAAGATAATCCAAGAGAACTTTACAAGGTAAAATTTTATATTTATTTTATACACATAATACGCATCTTTCATACCACTCATGCATCAAGATATTGTCACTATAGCAAAACCCTAATAAAGTCACATAAACTATCGATAATGTCTCAACGAAATGTTTTCTCCAGGGTGTCCATAACTTCGATTCTGAAAAATCATCATTACTTTCCGGGTTGTTGTTGTTTGTGTGGCTTGGTGTTCGATTTTCATTTGGGGTTTTCTTAGTCTGCCGACTGGAGGCCTGCGCATAAAATTCGTTTATTCGCTTATTCCTATGCGTAAGTAATATCCTTGTGTATTTTTGCGTATTTCCTGCCTTATCCTGATGGCCAAGCGGTCAACCTCTCCCCACTTTCCCACCCCCTCCCACAATTCAGACTCCATCCCGAATACACAAAATCAATCATATTCTCTACGTTTTTTCCTGGCTCATAGCTCTGACAGAACGCTCTCTTCATCAACTTCCTCCTCTTTTTTTTTGTTTCCTTACATCAGAATTTGTTGCTTCGCTCAGCGCCCAGACTTTATCATCGTCTTTCCTTTTTTCTGGCCATTCCTTACCTATATCTTAAAGGAATACAAATTGGAGTCGATTTATGTGGCATTTAAGTCTGCTTTTGCTGTGGCTTTCACTTTGTTCGCGGAGACAGTCGGTGCGGTGCGGTGCGGTGCGTTGCGGTTCCTTATAAATATGCTACATTTATTTTAATAGAATTGTTTATGGTCGCCGTATTGGCAGCGCCAGTGCCAGCCAATGGGGCCTCTCATTGTGGGCCATGTGCCCCATTTTGCGGATGCCCATGGATGCGGCGCTGTGGCACTGCCAAAACATGTTAAATAGAGAAATTGCAATAAAAAATGGCGGAGAAAATAGCGGCAAAAACCACGCCAAATCAAAGCCAACAAATCCAAAATGCGCACACAATATTTTGCGGGATTATTTCAGTTGGCTTGATGTCACTGGGATTCACGATGGGGTAATAGGGGAACAGGGGAATATGCACTATCCTGGGAATCCCAACTAAAAGTTCGGGCTACCATCCAAATTTCTGTTAATTTGGCAGCTTGTCCTGCGTCCTGGCACTTCGTTTCTCGTTTTTTTGTGACCAGTTTTTCCATGCCTCCCTGGCAGTCGTTTATATTTTTTTACGCTCTGCTTGAGTTTTATTTGCCTGTGAAAAAACGCCGAAGAGAAGAATCTGTATATATGTATCTGGATATACATATGTATGTATATATATAAATGGCTATATGTTTACGTATGTGTGTTTATATCTCCCTGTTTTTCCTTTTTGGGTGTATTTTCTGTGTGCAGATATGCAAAACGCTGTGCGCACATAAATTTCAGTGCTGGGCCACGCTTATTTGCATAGGAATTATGTATTTGGGCATGGCGGCTTAGCTGCTGCATTACACACAGATACACACACACACACAAAGCACACCACACAGGACACTCTCTCTCTATCTCCCTCTCTCTCGTTGCGGTCATGTAGAAAACTAACGCATATCGTTTTCCTTGTATTTTGCAGCTATAAATTTGCAACGCCCCAGGAAAATGCATTGCAGCAAAACAAGCAATTAAATCGGAGAAGGTCCCCGCCCCCCCCTCCGTAAACCCCACGTAGCACCCGTAACCGAACACGGGATACCAGGACCAAGGACCAAGGACCAACGACCAGGTCCTGCTGCTGTGCTATAAACCTATTTTGAATAATTAAAATTCCGTAAGTGCTGCAGTCGAAGAAGTTGGCCAGAAGAACAAGAATAAGTTGTTGCAGCAGCAAGAAGAAGGAAAAGTAGTCGGTAGCAGCCACACAGTAGCAACAAAACGTAAGGCAGCAGCGGGCCAGGTGGCCAAGCAGGAGTCCATTCTTGCAGCACAATCTGCGGCCGTGCAAAATCGTGTGCAGCAATGAAATAATTAATTCAATGCACCTGACTAAGCCTTGTGGCAGCAACAAGAGAAGCAGCAGCAGTAGCAGCAGCAGCAACCAAGGAGGCACCATTCCCAATACATTCCATTCCAACAAAAGCAGCAACAAAATGGCGGGGATAACGCGAACAATTAGCCAACAAAGACACCATATCCACCAGAGGATCCTGGCCCACACACTGCTCCTGGCCGTTGCAGCCATCGCTTTGTTGCAACTGCAGAACTTGGAGAGCGGTAAGTCAAGCCCAAAAAAAAAAAAAAAAGGAGAATGATATCTGTGCCCCATCCTCCAAGCAATTGCAAATTCAATCGCGTGCAACAGAGCCAAGTCAATCAGCAAGTCCAAGTGAGATTCCAGTCCCAGTCCAAGTACCAACCGCAATGCCATTCAATTGACAATCCCACAATTGGTGCCACAGCGGGTGGTAGGGAGAGAGCAGTGAGAAGAGCGAGTGGGATCCCCAGCTCGATGACGGAGCTTTGTCGGCTGGCGAATTAATCTCACGGATGAATATTTCAAAGCGAAACTTGAGCAATTAATTTCGCTAATTGCTTTTCTTCGCTTCGTTTTTGTGTGGCAAGAACACGTCCCCACGAATCTCGAAGCTCGAACCTCGAATCTCGGCTCCCCCCAACCTCCCTGCAACATTCACGGGCTTTTGCATTTAAATGCGCTGACGCTTGGTGCATTTTCAAGGACTCAACTTTTGCCTGTGCATAAAACTCAATCTGACATTTATGCGAATGTCCGCGGAATCAAATAAGAGTAATGACATTGCCAGAGTCAGAGGCAGAGCCTCAGAGGAGTGGTGTGGTGGGGGGGGGACAGTAGCTGGCCAGTGGGGAACCGACGATGAAGCGTCTTGGGATCTGTTCGAGTTCGGGGTTCTGCCACTGAGTGTGGCAGTGCAATGTCCTTTGGCTACTCAAACATTCCAGTGGCTATTAGTATTCATATCTTGACTGAACTAAACTGAAAGCTTAAATTCCTCTGGCCATTCTGGCTCTCTCTCTCTCTCTCTCTGTCTCGTCCTCTCGTCCGCTGGCCCTTTGTACACTTCCGAAGGATAGGGCGCCTCCGTTTTTATCTGCCAACGTTTGCATGAATTTTCATTTCGTGCTAGAATTGTTGAAAAAGATGCAATTAAATTTTAGGGCCAAGGGTGTCAGCAAAAGAAGGGGAGACACACAGCAAAAGTTGAAGCAAAAAAGCAAAAGCAGAAGCAGACGCGGAAGCAGATGGAGATGGAAATGGTCACGGACCCAAAGAGGGTCACTCCCAACACAGACAGATATGTACGTACGTATGTATGTATGTATGTACATACATATATATATATCTGATAGATATAGAAAGTGCGCGCAAAAAAGCTCTGCACGAAATATTCCAAGTCCCTGCCTGACACTGTCCCCTCCCTCCTTTCTCTCTTTTTGCTCCTTGGGGATGCTCCATCTCTGTCGTTCCGTTGTGCGGTTGCAGCTGCCGTTCGGTGGCAAGAACGCATTATTAATTTATTTTTCAACTTGCAAGATGAATAAGCAAAGAGCAAAAATGCGCTCCTCAAACGCTGCTTTGGATGCAGCCAAGCAAAAGTTCCCAATTTAAACGTCGTCCTAACGCCAGACAGTCAGTCCCACCAGCACCATCACCTAGCAACGCTTCTCTCCTCCTCCTGCTCCTGCTCCTCCTGCTCCTGCTCCTCCTCCTAGCACCCATTGTCGGGTCATTTTGCATGCAGTTTGCTGGCAAACGTGGTTTCGGGACGGCAGATGAACGTGTCTCGAACGGACTTCAATCTGCTGTCCATCACTGTCTTCGATCGTGCCTCACCGCAAGGAAATAAAATCCAAAAGTGAATAATGAACCGCAAATAACTTTACTTTGTCTTGTTCGTGGAGCGCAGCTTGCCACTCCCGCCCTCATTCCTGCCACTTGCAACTCCCGTGCATCCTTTTATGCTCAAAGTTCTTCTGCCCCACTCTGTTGCTGCTGTTTTCTAATACCCTTACAGGAGTACAGAGTATTCTGACTTTATGAAGGTCTCTGGATCTTATACAATATTTTCTTAAGCAAAATCCAAATTTTTTGCAGATACTCTTCCTTTCTGCTGCTAGTTGAAACACTTGGATATACCTTTTTTTCCTTGTTTTAAAACTGCTGCAGGGCGTTTGTCTGCTCCATTGGGTGGCACCCAACTACAGCTCCTGCAGCAGCGCCAGCGGACTGTCGGAGCAGTTACTGCGAGTGTCAGTAACAATTAGTTTGGTTTGTACTCCAGTTAACTGTCGTTCCACTCCTGCGCTTTGGCGTGGAGTCCTCTTCGCCGTTTCAAATATTTGCATTTGTGGTTGTCAATTCGCTGCGTCTCTTCCTCTCCCTTTTCGTATTTTTCCTTGACTTTTCCTGCATTTTTCCCCACAATTAATGAAGTGCCAAACGCTTGCTGAATGATCGCTTGTATAGAGCTCGTATTGGTGACTAATCTCCATCTTCATTAATGCGGAACATAGAGATATATTGTGACATAAATCACACAATCAAATTATGTATCTACATGGCCTGGCCCCTGGGGTCTATTCCTGAATGGGGTTTACTGGGGTTTCTGGATTAAGATTCATCTGTCCAACTCAACTAATCAATTTGACATAGGTAGAGAGGTTGCCTCCGCAAAAACTTTAACTCCGGAAAAACTTTTGATATTTGTGCAGAAAACTTTTCCCACTCAGATAACACATTTTCCCCAAAAACTTACATATATGTGTACTCTGATAACACTTTCCCCCATTTATTTATATACTCGTATATGTATATATAAGTAAGTGAAATTTATTAACTGCATGAACCACAGCCGAAATGCAAATAAATCAGACATTGGCCATCAGGTGTGGCAGTGCAAAAGTTCCTGGGTTAAACGAGGCCGAAACGCCAGGGGGCATAAACTAAGGCAAAAGGGGTGGCAACCGAAACAAAAACGAATCGAAAAGCAGCCGCAAAAAGGATATTGACGTGTGACGGCAACGATTGGAGTGGAGAGGCTCTTGAGTTGGGGGAGTTGGTATTGGTTATCGAAAGGAAGGCTATAACATCCATCAACCCACTGGTTGCTCTCCCCTTTCTCTCTCTCTCTCTCTCTCTCTCTCTCTGTCACACGCTGTCTCTCTGTGTACCGCTTATCCCCGCACTTTGGTTGTGGCAGTGTCAAGTATTTGCACTTGAATCGCGCGCTAAGCAAAATTTACGCGCATTTGTTTGTGCGACTCCAGAGAATTTGCTCGCCAAACTCAAGTGAAAATCGATGTCTATACATGTGTTCCTCTGTGTGTAGGTGTAGGTGTTGTATGTGTGTGTGTGCCTGTGTGTGTTTGTGGCACTGCCATTGTTGCCTGGCCACAATGTTTTCTTTTCCGCCTCCGTTTCGTTTCACTCGGCTTTTTATTGGTTTCGTTCGCTTTTTTTTCTCGCTTTTTTTTTGTGTGTTGGTTTCTGCTGTTGCCACTGCCGCTGCCACTGTGTGTCCTGCTTCTGGTGTCATGAGCAAAGGAGCAGCATTTGAGCAAACAAACTAGACCTGCCACCACATACACAATTACACACACACACACACAAAACACAGAGAAAAAGAGTGGGAGAGAGAGAAAGAGAGAGAGAGAGAGAAACACTTAAAGCTTTCATCCTGGAGCACATATTGCTTCATCTCTTTACGTGTGGTTTCCCCTGGACCCGGACAGGCATCAAAACTGTCGACAACATCAACGTCAACGGCATCATCATCGCCACGAAGCTCCGGATACAGCTTCAGCTCCACGTCCTTCAACAGATACAGCTCTTCCTTCAGATACAGCTTTTCCTTCAGCTACAGCCTACAGCCTACCAGCTACCAGTTCCAGCAACAGCTCTTCCTCCAGCTACGGTTCTACATCTCCTCTTCCAGCTTCAGCTTCAGCTCCAGCTTCAGCTTCAGTTCCTTCTCCAGCTCCAGCTCATCCAACAGCCGCAGCATCTCCTCCATCATTATGGGCTTCGTCTGACACTTCACAAAAATGCACACAAAATCTTCAACTTTATCTCGTCAATAACTTAAGTGCCAGTCAGGGGCTGTGGGCTGTACGATGTGGTCCTTGATCTGGGCCTGGTTTCTGGTTCCTGATCCTGGGCCTGGCTTCTGTCTCCCCCAAACAGTTTCACTCGGTTTATTCTGCCTCGTCTCCTCACATTATGCCGCCTGTGGCTTCTTACCCTCTCACTCTCTCTTCATGCCACAATTCATTTATCGGTAAAAATTTGCTTGAACTCTGTTTTAGCACGTACTGCGGTTGCATGTGGCAAAAGGCTTGCAAATGATTATTTTATTGACAATTAAATCATAAACATAAAAGCACAGGCCGCCGCACAAATCTACCAAAGAGAAAGTGAGAAAGGCGGCCATGCGGAGGAAGGAAGTGGAGTCAAATTTTATTGCCATGAATGTCAAGAGTTGACATTAGTCGCAGAGCAGGGGCATGAAGGCTCTGCCCCTTTCTTTCATTCTGTATGGAAACGATTCCAGTTTATTGCTGCATTTAAGGCCAGAGATGGCATCGCACTCAAACGCAGACATCAGAGTGGTGGGGTGGGGCACATAGGAAGACTATGCAGACTTGTTGCCACCACGTCTGACCAAGGCATTAGGTCTCGTCTATCCTTGCAACAGCTGCTATAGAAACAAACACATGTACTTGCCACATGCGAGTCGTCGTTGTCGTCGGCGTCTGGTTCATCTTTGAAATGATTTGGCAACATCGTTTCCCCTGCTATATTAAAAAGTTAATTACTCTCGCTCTGTCTGGCAGTGGGGGCAAATGAAGAAATTGTGTTGCCTCCGATTAACGTGTTTGCAAAGTTGAACTTGCAACGGGCAACTGGCACTGCCACTGGCACTGCCGCTAACTGCTAACTGCTAACTGGAGCTGATTGAATTTTAACTGAATGCCAGGAGAATGGAGAAGGAGAATGGAGAAGGAGAATGGGCAATGGAAGTGGAAATGGAATGGAAGCTGCGTCGGCTACCACTCTCTGCACAGCAAACCATATTTAATTTGTGTGCAAATGCTCGGCAAACAAGTTTCTAATAAAATAAAGTGACTCCCTGTCCAGCTCTCTGTCTGGTGGCACTGCACTGTCCTTGGTTCTTCCCCAAACGGGTAGTTTCATTAGAATTTCAGAGCGGCCCTCTCATTTGGGCGTACGAACTGCT